TTGTGAGGCCACCAGGCACGAATTATATACCGCAGGCATCGGTTGATGAAGACCTGCAGCTTTTGAGTGCTCTCCGCTGATACACACCACGTCTCGCTGGCGTATAACAACACAGATTTCACGTTCGAGTTGATAATTCGGATTTTGGTGCATTGACTTATCTGGTTGGATCTCCATACGTTTCGTAAACTCGCAACATAATCAGCCAAATTAATAGACTGCCACTGAAAGCCTCGTACTGCGCTTCGATGAGGTAGACGATCTTATCAGGGACTCCTTTGCGTCGCAGAGCGCCCCACAAGTTTTCGTGGTTTAGTCGGTCGAAAGCTTTTTCGTAGTCAATGAATATCAAGAGCAGGGCTCTACAATTTCGAAGCTCTAAAATGAACTCGTGTTTTGTTTCTCTCATACATACGTGTTCGACGCTTCATTTCTATAACGCCTAGCTAGACTATCAGCAAGAAACGAAAATAAAAAAGAAGGATGCTTGGAAGGAAAGGCTGGCTGTTGAACTTCTCGTCGTTGCTTTGCTCATCGCTTTCAATGTAAATAACGTCGATTTTCTAGTTAAACGAACTTCATTATGGCTTTCAATCCCCTCTCACGAACACTCTATCGCCGCTCTTTCAATTTGTTTAAAATGCGTTATGTCCCGTTTTCGATCATTTTTTTAGATAAATATATGGATGGAAGATAAATTAGAAATATGACGTGTAATCTTCAAGTGTTTTGACGTGAGAAATGCTTTAAATGTGTTATTTCATTTTCCGTCATATACGTCATGAAACCTCTGTTGATGTGTTTCATGAAAGAGAAAACTATCAAAGTCGAGCGCTCTTTCGCTCATCCATTTCGACGAAGCTTGAAAGGAAGACCAATGGAGCGACGGGAGAAAGAGAGACAAGCGATTGAACATTTGTTTGTGCACGCCGACTGAAGTTCTAGAATGCTGCGAAGCTGTTCGACTTTAACAGAAAAAGAAAGCCAGCAGTCTCTTCGTCGCATCGATTTGGTCGATTGAAGCTGATATTGTGACGCCCTGATCAAGAGTACAGGGACTCTTGGAACTCATCGACCTGCTCCAAGATGATGCAGAGCGTGACAATATGGTCCACACAGTATCTTCCAGCACGGAATCCTGCCTGCTGTCGTCGGAGAGTCGCGTCGATCTTCTCCTGTATCCGATTGAGGATAACTAACTAACAATACACAGTAACATGATGCCTCGTCAGTTTTCGCATACAGTTGGATCCCCCTTCTTGGGGACTTTTACCAAGACGCCCTGCATCCAGTCGGCCGGAAAAGTCGCGGTGTCCCAGACATTGACGAATAGTTGACGCAACATTTGTGAGGATAGCATGGGGTCAGCTTTGACCATCTCTGCTGATATGCGATCGACCCCCGGGGCTATGTTGGACTTCATACTTCGGATGGCTGCTTCTATCTCCTGCAATGATGGAGCTTCAGTGTTGACGCGAGTAACGCGTCTCACTTTTGGCGGATCATGCCGAGATGTTGATGGTTGGTTGACCGTTGAAACTTCGAGAAGTTGTTCAAAGTGCTCAAACCAACGTTTCAACTGGTCAGTGAGCAACTGTCCAGTCGCGTCTTTCACAGGCATCATTAGGTTCATCCTTGTCCCGCTGAGGCGTCGTGAAACATCATAGAGAAGGCGGATATCGCCAGTTGCTGCGGCTTTCTCCCCTTCATCAGCCAGGGAGTCCACCCATGCTCGCTTTTCCCGTATACAGGAACGCTCAACTTCCCTCTCTAGAGCCGAATACCACTGACGGGCCTCGTTCTTGGCTCCTCAGGTCCTTGCTCGGTCTATCGCGGCTTTTGCTTCTCTGCGCTCCTCGATCTTCCTCCAGGTTTCATCGGTGATCCACTCCTTCCTCTGAGTGCGCAGCTCACCCAGGTTGTTCTCACTTGTTTCAATAAAGGCATTCTTGATGCTCGTCCACTGTTCTTCTTCGCTGCCACCTTCCGGAATATTAGCTGCGCGATCTCTTCACTGCTGGGTCTTCCAGTCGGCGTGTTTTGAATCGCCGCCCGAGTCTCTCCTCCCGCCGTTGAACTCGCGCAATGCGTAGGCGGATCTTACCGACCAGGAGATGATGGTCAGACGCGATGTCAGCGCTGCGTTTATTCCGAACATCAAGAAGGCTCCGTCTCCATTTTCTCTGTATATCAATCACGGGAGACCCATGTGACTTTATGCACTGGGCGATGGGGAAGAGCGAACCCTCGATCACCATGTCGTTGTTGCCACAAAACTCTTCAAGCAGCTCGCCGTTCTCGCTCATATCTCCGAGACCATGGCGTCCCATAATGCGCTTATAGTCCGAGTTGTCGGAGCCGATCTTCGCATTGAAGTCGCCTGTGTAGATCTTGATATCACCTCTTGGAGTCTTATCCACGATAGCATTCAGTTGACTGTAAAAGTTTTCTTTGTCCTGCAATTCGGCTTCTTGGCTTCGCCGATGACATTGACATCATGGCACGGAACTTTGAGACGATGGCGAAAACGTACATCAGACTGAAGGCTGAAGCTAGGCGGATTGGTCTTGCCATCAACGCATCAAAGACGAAATACATGAAAGGAAGAGGTTCTAGGGAAGACAATGTTAGCCTCCCACCCCGAGTTCAGATTGACGATGACGAAATCGAGGTAGTCGATGAGTTCGTGTATTTGGGTTCATTGGTGACCGCAGAAAATGATACCAGCAGAGAAACTCAAAGACGCGTTATGGCAGGGAATCGTGCCTACTTTGGACTCCGGAGGACGTTCCGGTTGAATAAAATTCGCCGCCGCACGGAGTTGACCATCTACAAGACGCTGATTAGACCGGTGATCCTCTACGGCCACGAGACCTGGACTATGCTCGTGGAGGACCAACGCGCCCTTGGTGTTTTCGAACGGAAGGTGTTGCGTACCATCTACGGTGGAGTGTAGATGGATGACGGAACGTGGAGGAGGCGAATGAATCACGACTTGCACCAGCTACTGGGAGAACCATCCATCGTCCACATTGCAAAAATTGGGCGACTACGGTGGGCTGGGCACCTCGTAACAATGCCGCACGACGACCCAGTGAAAATGGTTCTAGAAAGCGACCCAACAGGAACAAGAAGAAGAGGCGGGCAGCGGGCAAGGTTGATCGACCAAGTAGAAGGCGACCTGCGGACCCTTCGCAGACTACGAGGCTGGCCATGGATCGAGTAGAGTGGAGGCGACTTCTTCGGACAGCAGAGGACATTAGCCTGATTGGTATGGTATGGTTAGGTCCTAAACATGTCTCCGAGCATTTCTCTGGAATTTCCTAAAACTGGAAAACCCCTCTGGATTCTTTTTACAACGCCTGCAACAAACGTCAGATTGTATAGCGAACGAATCGTCCTAAAAGTGCATTGGTTTGTTCAATTTTAAATCTCTTTCACAGCCTTCTAGAATGTTTCCCAGGCATTATCAACAACATCGATTTTGAGAATATAAAACAAATTATTAGTGTTGCAAACGAGAATTTCATGATCCGAGAAGTGCTTTCTAGTCGTAGGACTTCATCAATCATCAGCTCAATAAATCGTTTTCTGTAAGCTCATGGCAAGCATTACTATCTGATCGATGTAGTTCATTATGATAAGAAATATTTTTGCCAACAAATGCTCCCGGGTGAATCTAAATTGCCCTTCAATCAACAGCAATCAAGCAGCAGCAGCAGGGTGATTTTCTCAGAAATTATCCCACTGGGAGCATGGGTTAACTGATTTCCCAATTACCTAATCAATGAGCTTTGTCGTATCATCCAGCTGGAAGCTATAACTGTTTTGACTACTTCCAGTTGCTTGGGAGTACTCAACCAATAAACTCCCAGATCCTATCTGGATGTAATCAATTTGAAATTCGCAAAAATCTTGACTGTGCACTGCTACGGTCTATGGCAGACCAAACTGCTGCTAGCTGAGCGCGATTCGTATAGGTGGGTATTGTTTACTCTATCAAACCCCTCAGCAGATACCATATTTATCTTATCGGACGATCCCCGCCGCCCAAAACAAGACAAACAAGATACTAGCGGCAGATGATGGACAATTGCTAATTTCATCGACCACTTGCCAACACGTAAGGGAAGAGAGACAGCTGCAAACTAAAAGAAGCTGATAATAATTCTAGAGCAACATGTGAAAAGGGTCTATGTGCAAAACGTAAACAATTACAATTAGAATTCTCGCGGAGTGGGAATCACTCTGACAAAGGAACACCAGCATCTGTTTACGTGGGTGTATTGCGATTCGATGTTTACATTTCGCACAGAGGCCCTTTTAACATGTCGCTCTAGAATTATTTTAATCAATTTGATTAATTCTCACAAACCGTTTGCAATTAGCTGGGTATAGCAATATCAGAAAAGTGCAAACTGACACTTCAAAACCGGCAGCAGATCGAAAATAAATAATTGCTATAAAAAAAAATGTAACACCTATCAATCATCGCACGTTTTCGCACATCCAAATTCTATTTGCTAACTGTTGGCAAACGATCCGCTACTGGTGGATAAACTAACCTAGCGACAGCCGTACCTACACATCAGCTGTTCTGTTATACAAACGAACATATCGAACATCATCGGCAGACATGCACGGCAGTAGAGGAGCTAAGCCGGTTGAGTGAAATGCGCGATTCCTTCGCGCACCCGGTCAAATCTTCTTCACTCACCATCAAAACACCCATTCCCACACTAGCAACGTCGTCGTCGTCGTCGTCGTCCAATTTTCAAGGTCCTTTAAGGTCAAGCAACTATTACCGTAACCGAGCGAGCAGTTAGCCGTACTAGTTATTACTCAACCACTCCGACCTAGATTGCGGACTAGTTGCGCGATCGTCAGTCTTACGGGATAACTGTTTCCAATATTACCTGAGTGCGTTCGATATCGCATTTCATTCTCAATTTCAGTCAGTTGTGCTAATCGTGTTCTATTTCTTCCCTTCCCTTCCACAGACGTTCTATATCGTTGGACACAGCGACACGCCTAAGAGAAGCCGCCATGAGTAAGCTCATCCGTCAGGTATCGATCGAAACACCCGTATCGAAAATCAAAGATTGCGTGTTCAATCTGGTGGTTCCGATTCCGGACACACCGCCGTCCGGGGCCCGTATCCTGGTCGTCTACGCCGGAGCATGCTACCGCAAGAATCAGTCCACATCGATCTCATCGATTAGCAGTCAGCTGTCGGATACGGGTGATATTACCACATCGCTGCACATGCTAGCGAAGCAGATGCAGGGCAGCGGCAACTTCTCCAGTATTAGCGAGGAAGGTCCAGACAACACAGCTTCACAGGCCCACCAGACCTCGGTGGCCATTCAGCACAATCCGGCCGCGCATCATGGCGTGCGGGACGGTGCCCTGTTTCCAGGTTTTGAAGTGGCCGGCGTCATCGAATCGCTCGGTTGTGAACTGAATGAAGACTGTGGCTTCAAGGTGGGCCAGCGGGTGATTCTCTATCCGTACGAAGGTGTCCCCTGCGGTTACAGCGAGCTGATGGTGGTTCCCGATATGAAGTATCTGATTCCTATCCCCGATTCACTGCCGCTCAGTGTGGCCGCCACGTTGCCGACCGGTGCTCTGCTGGCCCAGAGTGCCATCATCACTGCTCACAAGATCGTCGACGATCTGCTGAAGAAGCGACCGAACGAGAAGGTGAAGATTCTGATCGTCGGCACCGGCGGACTGGCCCTGTGGGCAATCCGAATTGCGGCGCAACATTTCTACACACCCACCACCAAGGACAAGATACAGATTACGGTGGCCAGCCTGCGGGACGAGGGCTTCGTCATGGCGAAGAAGTGCGAAAAGTGAGTATTGAGGGGCTGCATGGTTACATATGAAGGAGGGGGGGGGGGTGGATTGGGGATCGCATACAGTTGTGGACATGTATATTTTATATACCATGCATTTTTGTGTCTCTCAATGAAAGTAAAAAAAAAACTCTTACTTTTCCGTGCATGGAAATTTCTGATATGTTGAATACTGGTTGATGAAGTATTCAATATTCATCAGTATAATGAAGTAAGAGCAATTTTAGTAAATCGCTTGGTAGGCAAATATGCAATTTTTCATTAATTTATTTCCTGAAGTACGATGCACGAAATTTGTCTTTAATTTTACAACTTTTAGTCGTTCACGACGAAAAAAGTTACAAAAGTTTGACTTGTTTTACGTCGTCTTTGAAAAAAGGCTAATTTATCGCTTTGATTTTTATCAATAGTTTCGACATGCTCGTCCAAGAATACCCATAGGGTAAACTCACCAATAGTGGAAGTACGTTAGTGCAAAATGTGTTCCTATAGTGGCTTATGGAGACTCCATAAGCCTCTATAGGAACATATTGCGATAACGTACCTCCACTACAGGTGCGTTTACCCTATTAGAGTGTATTTTAGATTGATTTGACAACTAGAAGTAATTTGCTTTGATTCCAAATTAGTTTTATTTTTAAACTATATTTTTTATGATTTTGTAAAAATATGCAAAAAATTGTCGCCTTTTTCGTTGTTAACAAAATTAAGAAAATTTTGGGAAGTTGTAAAATAATGTTTTGACTAGAAATGATATTTTTTTTTTTAGATAATTTGGTTAATTGTACCGTTTTGGGACATTTTTACAAAAAATCGAAAAAAAAACCGTTCCCTGCAACATTCACATTTTAACAAGGAAAACAGTTTTAAGCATGTGATTTTATTCATCAATGATATATTTACGACAGTCATGGAAATGATCGATTGAAACTGATATATCATTTTAGTAAAGGTAAATATAAAATTTACCAATGTAAACCCTCATGAGGGGACATTGGACCAACATATAAATTTTATTTAAATATCTTAAAATATGTAAATGTAACGTAGCTATTAGGAGTACACTTGGTTCTGATCACAATGTACTCCGTATGTATGGCTTAAGATTGCGTGTAACCATCGTCTATCCATATAAAAGTGCGTTCAAACTTTTTTTTTGCCTGGGGGCATTTTTAAAAACGTGTTTTAGATAGGGGAATTTACGTATTCTCGGCAACCTAAGCAGCGACCTTCTTTCTATAGCCTTTTTCTCTATGGAACGCACACATATGCAGTATTGGTTTGTTTACAAACATTTGCTGCCAGCTGCTCTAACAATTTCAGTCGAAAGAATTGTCAAAAACTGTTTTGAAACGCTTTTACAAAGCTCCAATCTTCTCTAGTGAGAGCGAGTATTGTCGGCAACCAGTTTTTCTTCGGCAACCGTTCCATTTGAACTGCATGTAAATCTGCTGTTCTATTATCGGCAACTCGAAATCAGCTACAATTTGTAGTGCGTGTGTTTCATTTCAAGAAAACCCTGCTAGATTGCTTTTTCTCAGTGGTAAAAATATAGTCAAATTGAAGCTGAAAGCATAAAGAATCGTTTGCATGCATTCAGCGAAGTGTTTTCGTAAGAAAATCCAGTGAAAATAGTGTTTCAATTTGGGTTGCCGAAAATAGTCTGTCATGCCGAACCCGTCATTTCCCCTACTATTTATTTATTTATTTATTTAATTTATTTAATTGATTCCATCAACAGGCTTCAATAAGCCCCAATGATGTTAAGTAATACAAAAAAACAACATGATTGTCTGTGCTTAAAACTTAAACATTACACTGCTATTCACGGTTACCTGTGCCCGAAAATATCGAGGTGAAACTACGGCGAAGCGTCTGACGTGGTACGTGAAAATCGAACACTGAGGCAACTCTGTTGAAAACTCGCTGCAGTCCGTTTATTGCTCCATTCATTCCGTAGTTCGTGCGACGAAAGGGAAGTCTCAGCATAAGACTGTTTCTTAGTGCACGTGGTCGTACATTCAAATCGATTTTTTCGAGGATAGTAGGACAATCGATTCTCCCTTGCAATGTATCGGCAACAAGTAAAGCCCTTGCAGCGTCTCTTCGGGTCGAAAGAGTTTCCAAACCAATCAGCTGACATCGGCTTTCATAGCTAGGCAAACGGAAAGGATCTCTCCAAGGCAATCGCCGAAGGGCGAAGCGTAAGAATCGGTGCTGGACTGATTCGACTCTTTCAACACCATTTTTGTAGCTTGGATTCCAAACTGCTGAGCAATATTCAAGGACTGATCGGACCAGTGAGGAGTACAATGACTTCAGGCAATAAATATCAGTAAAGTTTTTGGTTATTCTAAAGATAAAGCCTAGTGTTCTGGAAGCTTTATCAACGACATACGAAATATGCTGCTTATATGTGAGTTGCGAATCCAAAATGACTCCCAAATCCTTCACGTGGCTCACTCGTTCAATTGCTGAACCCAATAGGTTGTAGTTGAAGATGATTGGTTCTTTTATCCGAGAAAAGGAGATTACTGAGCATTTCGCCGGGTTAACTTCCATTCGGTTCAAGGTGCACCAGTCAAAAAAAGCATGAAGCTGGCGTTGAAGAAAGTGACAGTCGGCAATGGAACGAATCCGAAGGTAGAATTTTAGATCGTCAGCATACGATAGTCGAGGTCCGTCAAGCACATAATTCACATCGTTGAAGTAGAGCAGGAAGATCAAAGGTCCAAGGTGGCTACCCTGGGGTATCCCCGATGTAGCAGGATAAGTATCAGATCGGTAATCGCCTATGGCAACCATCAGTTCGCGACCGGTTACATACGATCGAAACCATTGTAATAGGTTACCATTGATCCCAAGTCTGTCTAGTTTAGCAATAGCAATAGCATGGTTTAGCTTATCGAACGCTGCTGACAGATTGGTATAAATCACATCCGTTTGAGCTCGGTCAACCATGCTATCAGTTACATAAGATGTGAGGCATAGCAGATTGGTGGTGGTGGAACGACCTGACATGAAGCCATGCTGATCATCACTCAAAACATGCTTGCAGTGAGAAAGTAGCGGTTCCATTATGACTAGTTCAAAAAGCTTCGATACGGTGCTCAGTGAGGTAATTCCACGATAGTTGTTGACATCTCGTTTGTTTCCTTTTTTGTGAACAGGAAACATGTGAGCAAACTTCCAGCAAGAAGGAAAAATACCACAGCGAAGCGATAATTGGAACACGTGACAGAGCGGAGTCAATAGACTATCGATATTCTTCTTGAGAAAAACGGACGGGATTCCATCGGGTCCAAGGTTGCAAGAAGATTTCAGCTTGGAAGCAGCTCTTAAAATAGTCATATCGTTGATGTCGATGCCATTTAATGTATCGCCGTGCATTGGAACGTTGCTTGCTGCGAGGTTAACAAATTCGTTAGATAGGCTCTCGTCAGTGAAAACATCGGCAAATTTGAGAGAGAAGAGTCGGCAAATCTCCTGATTTGTGGATCCCACTTCGCCATTGAACACCATGGACGATGGAAGACCGGATTCCTTTCGCTGCTCGTTAACATAAAGGGTGATACGGCCAAAATTTGGTCAAGGGAAAACGCGTGTAAATCGGTGAAATCGTTTATTTAAAAAATCAAATTAAATTTCTTTTTCAAGTTCAATTAGTATAAAATTCAGGAAAAATATTCAGTTAGGCTTCCGCTTTTCCAAATCCGAATTTCCGGGCCTTACGCTTGACCCCTGCCATCAGATTTTGTACAGCCACCTTGTCCACCTTCTTCGCCGCAGAAAGCCAGTTTGCCTTGAACTGCTGCTCGCCCTTAGCAGTTTTTTTGGTTTTCTTTAGGTTCCGCTTGACAATAGCCCAGTATTTCTCAATTGGGTGGAGCTCTGGCGTGTTGGGAGGGTTCTTGTCCTTGGGAACCACCTGCACGTTGTTGGCGGCGTACCACTCCATGGCCTTTTTACCGTAATGGCAAGATGCCAAATCCGGCCAAAACAGTTCGGAACAACTGTGTTTCTTCAGGAAAGGCAGCAGACGTTTATTCAAACACTCTTTCACGTAAATTTCTTGGTTGACAGTCCCGGAAGCTATGAAAATGCTGCTTTTCAAGCCACAGGTACAGATGGCTTGCCAAACCAGATATTTCTTTGCGAACTTTGACAGTTTCATGTGCTTGAAAACATCTGCTACCTTTCCCCTTCCTTTTGCCGTATAAAACTCCTGTCCCGGAAGCTGCTTGTAGTCGGCTTTGACGTAGGTTTCGTCGTCCATTACCACGCAGTCAAACTTCGTCAGCATCGTCGTGTACAGCCTCCGGGATCGCGCTTTGGCCGTCGTATTTTGTTTATCATCGCGATTTGGAGTCACTACCTTCTTGTAAGTCGATAGTCCGGCTCGTTTTTTGGCTCGATGCACGGTTGTAGACGATACACCCAGCTTATTTGCGGCATCTCGGAGAGAGAGGTTAGGGTTTCGCTTGAAACTACCGGCAACTCTCTTTGTCGTCTCAGCGGCTTCCGGTTTTCGATTTCCCCCCGATCCAGACTTCCTGGCTGTCGACAAACGTTCCCCAAACACTTTAATTACATTTGTAACGGTTGATTTGGCAACTTTTAGCGATTTTGCCAACTTTGCGTGCGAGTAGCTCGGATTTTCGCGATGCGCGAGCAAAATTTTGATACGGTGCTCTTCTTGCTTGGACGGCATTTTGACAACTGAAGAGTGAATTCCAAAATCAAAATAGGAGCAACATTCTACACACACACACCTTCAAAATGAGGGGTGTTCAGGTTTTTTAAATGCAAAATTGAAAGAAATACGTCAAGTTGATATTGACCAAATTTTGACCGTATAACCCTTTAGTTCCAAAAGGATTTCGGATGTGATCTCATCCTGCGCTGAATTCCCTGCTGATATCGCGAATAGCTTTGGCGACTGATCCGTTTGAATTGATGGTTTAGTCGAACATAATAGCATTTTAATTGGAACGTAC